CAACTTTTGATTTTTTACAGTGCATACGTAACAATTATTATTATCATTACTATTATGGTTTCATTTTAAATGTGATGTTTGCCGTTGTCTGTGACACATCAGTACAAATCACACTACAAATGCAATGTGCTGTACCTCCAAATGTGATTTCAGTGATCAGATCAAAAAGCGATTTAGACCTGCTTACACCTTTAGTTATCTCTGCCCACTTCAGAGATGATCCGAGGCAAAAAGCAGAATAAACCGGGCCAGAGATGTGAAGCTAAGCTTAGGTGAACACAAGCACATACAATAAATAAATGAAAACACCCGCAGGCGTTCCTGCATATGTAACGAATGATCTGTTCACGTGCTCTTAGAGCAAAGCAAACACAGTCATCTACGTGAAATTCATAAAGCAGCTCGGCAAGGATCAGTGTCGGGTAAAACGGAACGAGACCTGAGGTGTCATCACATGGTATAACAGCTCACGTATTTATAGTAAGTCACAAGAATGCTGGTGAAAACACACAAACTCAATTGCAATCTTTGAATCTACTGATTCAGGACTGCAGGAGACTGGGAAGGAAAGCATCCAGAATAATCCATGTAATCTGACTCACTATACAACAAACACTCGTCAGTTGTGCCGACTTAAAATACTACAGCTAATAATACTGCGTTCAATGGCGTCTACCCACCTTAGGGAAACTGCACGGGTAATCTGAACCCAGACTGCTAGATGTAAAGGACAGGCCTCGTATTTTTTTTCTGCATATTTTTGACAAGAACCGCCCACTTAGACGGGATGAGACTGCTTGATTGACAAGCGAAGCGACCAATCACAGTTTGCCGTATTTGTGCGAGACATTTAGGGCAGGAAAATCTGAAGTACCTCAACTGTTGTTTAAACGATAAGCGATTTGACATTATCGAGTATATCGCAAAAAACAAACAAAAACACGCTCTGCATGCATACACAATGAGATGAAGATTAGACGACTGCATGAGCACATTTAGAGTACACGCTTTCACTGCGTGATTCAGTCTATTAAAATATATTTAGCCTAGATATAGTTAATCTGATATATAGTTAATATCACATAAAGAGCAGAGTTTTTTCTCCAAATATAAGCACAATTCATAGCTTTCAGTCACGTGACCGGCTTGAAGACTTGGAGGGCAAAACATGCATAGAACTGCAGCACAAGCCTGTCAATTTTCCATCCGTTTCCCAGCCGCAAATATTTAGATCACCTCTCAAAAGAATAAAACAAAGGTATGTGTGAACAAAATGCAAGTTTTGGCCATTTGCAATCCATATTAAGCACCCGCGGCAATATTTCAATCATTAAACAGTGCGACAAAACGTTGTACAAACACTTAAAGTGCCTTAACATATTTAAAACCGTAATATTAAAAGATAAAATTCAGTAATCACCATATTAATGATGCATAGTTTACATAGGCAAGCAGATGAGGCCGGAATATGAACGCAATCCGCTTAATGGTTCAGCATTTTCCTTATAATGGTTTTCTATGGGAAACCATTTAATGTGAAACTTTGCACATTGTGTTTATATTCTGGGTTCAATCTTGCCTGTACAAAATATACATCATCAATAAGGTGTGAATTGAATTTTGCCTTTTAATATCTGCGTTTTACTACAATACTACTTAATGCAATCTGCGTAAAAATAACTGTCGGTCAGTGGAGCAAAGCTTCGTTTTGCCCTCCAGGTGGGCGTTCCTATATAAGGGTGTGACGTCACGTGAAAACTATCAATTGCAAATGTGATAGACTTTATAAAATAGTCTAATAAACAAGTTAATATTAATTGACTCACATTTTATACACAACAGTTCCTGTTTTTGCTCTATTTCGTCAACAAAAATAGTTACAAAAAGCCACAGCAGAACTGTTTTGCGTCTCTGTTTAGTTACTGAATCAGTTAACCGTTTAAATTAATCGGTTTAATGAATGATTCAATGACTCACTCATACAGTGATTTGCCGCCACCTACTGGTGATTTTAGGTTTATATTTAAAGTATATTTTCCCTTTTTTTCCCCAAAAATCTTTTCAAAAACCAGTATTCAACGTTTTTTTTTTTTTTTTTTTAAATATAAAAACATTATTTATGCATTTGTAACTGCAGGTTAATTGCATTCATGCCCTGCATTAAACAGTCTGTGCCACAAACAAATTTTGTTGATACTGATTTCATTTGGCGCTATAGTGTCTTAATATTTGAATTTATTGATTAAATGTAAGAATTTGACACAAGAGACAACACATACATTTAATTAGGTTAGAAAAAATGGTCTTATAAAAGGTAAAAATGCCCATAAAATGTAAAAACCAATTTAAACTTATTGGAAAAGTTCATTTCTGTTACTCCCGCAAACTAACCACCGCACAGAATATGAAGAACATCAAAAGCTTTGGGAGTCGGCAGTCCTAAACCTGCCAAAATAACACGCTCAGCAAAATATCATTAAAATAGGTATCATATATCGCACACCCCTATTGCTAACCTCTTCGAAATTGCCTACCCTATCTTTAATAATTGCAATCTTAAACCTAACAGAAGTAATGCTATTTATATGGCACTTCTTCAGCAGGTTTGGATGCACTGGTGCAAATGCATCCAAAGGCCTTCACCACACAGTATGTGTTGTTCTGCAGCAGGGGGATGGGATGGACCAGAGCCGCGCTGGCAGAAAGCCTCTCTAGCATTTACTGAGCTCCTCATATTCCTATTGTCTCTTCACGGGTACGACTGGACAGATGAGAGGCGAGTCCGGTCGCTTTCCCACCTGTGCTCGACAGATCCAGATCTGGTTTCTGAAAACTTACCATCAGTACGGCATGCTAAATGTGACCTAAGATGGGCAAAATCCTTCTTATTGTACATTTTGCATGTCTAAATGTGGCATTAAATAAACATGAGAATAGCGGGTGTGTCTAATAGGTCAGATGTGGTGTAACAAACCAAATTACTGTTTACAAAAGAGAATTGGATTTCAAAGAGTGTACAGAACAATCATGTGCAATATGCAATAATAACAACTTGCATGCAGTGAAATAAAACTCACCAAATTTGACCTTTGAGTGTTTATGTGCCTGGATTATAGGCTAGATAAGAATGATTTGTGATTAATTAAGCTGGAAGTAACACCACCTTCTTAAAGCATAAGCATAAAACACAATGCAGTAAGAAAACATTATCCTTCATAAACCTCAATTGTGCCAATGAGTCATGCAATCCTGAATGAACCAGATGCAACATGACGCCATTCACCCTATATTAACGTATTACTACCAAAGATTCGTCTATAAAATGATTTTTATCATTATTTATTTGACATATTAACCTGGCTAGCATGTGAGACTGGCGTTTCTTTCAGAAGAAAGCACAATGAGACATGGGTCACATTTGATTCGAATGAATCATGATGCACATTTCAAGATAACTCTTTGTTTTTCAGAGGGAGACAGTGAGGATAGTTAGTTATTAAGCTGTCATCTGATGCCACACGCTTTGCCATCATAGAAAAGTGATGGAACTATGACTCATTTCAGACCTGAATCATTTATTTTGAAAAAAGAATCGTGAATCGGTTCTTTCGAACACTTTGCTTCGATGAACCCATTCAAATCAAATAACGAATCAATGGTTCTTTTTGCGCAAAACCTGTGGTTCCTGACATATATTTAAAATATAGATAAAACTATTGATTTAAAGATGGTGTTTAGGGATATATAAAGAGCATATTCTCAGGTTTATTGCAAAATATACATATAAACAAATATTATAAGTGCTTAATGGGAGTGGTTGGACCTTACAGTTCTTTTGCCTTGATTTACTGTTTCTATTCTCTGATTGGTGGAGATTTTCTGCAGAATTATGGGTAATGTAGGCCTAGTCTTTCACTAGGAACATTGCGGTTAATCACTATTATTTAAAAATTACGTTGAAATAACGCATACTGATGGCTTCAACAAAATCATATAGCATTGATTAACAACCTCGTAGCTTACAGTAAGTCTGTTTATAATAGTTTTTAGGATGTTGTTAAAAATGAATGGGATTTTTACTTCTGTAACCGACTGTTGCAACAATAATAAGAATCGTTATTGTAATTCCGTGAGTTTGTAGTCTGTTAAAGCAGCTTAATCTTATTAAAAAGGTTTATTTAGTTGAGTGGATCACGATGTACTCGATGTTAACGGTTCTCGAGTTGATGCGGCTAAAAAAAAAAACGATTTCTCGGTTCAAATAACTGCTGGAGCGATTCAGTGCGGTTCGTGACGAATCACTTAATCCGATTCAAACGATTCACTGAACCGATCCGAATCAAAAGAACAACTGGCTCACGAATCGATATTAGTGATGGGAAGTTCGGATCATTTTACCGACTCGGATCTTTGAGTCTCGTTCAGCAAAATTAACGAATCTTTTTTCGAGTCATTTCGGCAAAATGTAATTAAAATGTTACGTGTTACTTCCCTAACACGTCTACTACTTACGCAAACGTTGATCACACTACAAACAATACAAAACTGCTATAAGAAACAGAAAAGATTAATTAATTGTTTAACTGTTACCTGGGTCTTCAGTCTTCCTCTTATCTGACAAGTCTTCGGGTTTGGGCTTATGGGGCTGTCACGTGATGAACGAACGACTCGAACCAGGTGAACTACTTGACTAATTCCAGTACAGAACCTATAGGATGTTGCGCATGCGCGACTGAACGAATCACTCCCCGAGACGACTCGTTCCTCCCGAGTCACATTAAAGATTCATTCAAAATGAACGAATCGTTCAAGAACGACCCATCACGAATCGATATCACAGACTCTATCAAGAGATGTTTAGGCAGTCAACATAAGTCGTTAGTCCTGCCACACAATAAGGCAAATCCCGTGATAACTGTCTATTCGTGTATTGGGCAATCAGTGATGTTAGGCCTGGCAAGTGTCGTTTTGCGTCAGAAAACGTATTTTATGTTATTTACCTTGCGTTTCCTGGTTTCGACAGAGCCGCTCCACACAAAGCACTGGTATATGACCCGCAGATTCTGCTTCCAGTTGTCCACTTTGAACCCGTTCACATGGGAGCACCCTGCGGGACTCATGACACAAACCACATCCGAGTTCCTGTATTTCGGCGATGAAATAAGCTCAACTGAAGTCACGAGGAGAATTAACGTTATCCACCAATTGTTCCGTTTTGCCAGGCAAAGCAGCGAGCCACGACAGAGTCGAAGATGCGTGCCTTACACATGCGGAGAGCGTTTCTCGATACCCTCGCTGCATGAAAATGCCATCCCTGACGAGAATTAAGCACACAAGCTTGTGGTAAAACTGAGCTCACTTTGATATTGTATTTTCCAAGTCGGCTGTTTTAATGGACGGCGATGGAATTCAACGGAGCACCGTGGGCGGGCGAGGTTAAACGCTGATTGGCGGATGGCTTGCGGTCCGTGACTGCGATTGGCCAGCGCCCGTGCCATTTCCGTTAAACTCCCGCCCACTTTCGAGAACTCTCAAATGTGATTGGCTGGCGCGGCCGCTTGTCTTTTTTCAAAGACTTGTACGCCGCAGGAGCGCCTGTGATTGGCTGCGTCGCGCCTCGCGTCGGTCCTTCTTTTCTTGTTGGTTATGTCATTCACGTAGAAAACACACGGTCCACATGTCTACCTGCATTCAAGCTGTGAAATTGGAAATGAGTGTGAAAGTGAAGCTCTCAAGAAACATTCCAATAATTGTGTATAAGTTATATTACAAAAAATAAATAAATTGAAATTGAACAACACAAATCTCAATTTTATGATCTAATGCGTTAGTGATAATACAATATTATAAAATCAAGAAACACATCGATATCATCAATAAATTGCTTGTAAACAATATTACAAGAAAATGAAGCCTCAGTAAAATTGAAATGTAACAAGACTTTATGATGTGATGTGGCAGACAAGAAACATCCCAACATAATAATAACAAAAATTGTTTATAAATAATATTACAAGTTCATTCAAAGTGACCAAGACAACCTTCAATTTTATGATCTTATGTGGCAGAGACACAGGAATATAAGACTTTCCTCTCTGATAGCTTTAATAAATTGTTTATAAATAATATTGTAAGGAAACGAACCCTATTAAACAAGACAAACCTCAGTTTTATGATATATTTTGGCAGTGACACCAGACTTTCCTCTCAAGAACAACACGGGATCATTGCAAATTAAATGTTTAGAAATATTACAAGATTCATGTAATTGAGTAATGAGCAGTGTTGGGGAAAGTTACTTTTAAAAGTAATGCATTACAATATTGCGTTACTCCCTAAAAAAGTAACTAATTTCGTTACTTAGTTACTGTTTATGGAAAGTAATGCGTTACGTTACTTTTGCGTTTCTTTTTAAATCTGGACAGGGCTTGCTTGTTTGTTTTTCAGATAAAAAAGTTATATTTTTGGCAAATATAAAAGCCTTTTCACACCAAAAGTGAAATGAATAAGCCTCAGGCTGAAGGGAAAGTAAATTTACGTCCGTACAGTAGAATGCAGAAGAAGACATTTCAACACACTTCAGCAATAAACAAAGACACAAATGTTTGTCTAGAGTTATTTGTGATTATTAGTACGGTTGAACTGGATCATCGAAGGTCAGAAGCAAATAGAATGAGATTAAATACATAAAGGATATTTGTGTTGTTTAACATTTAATTATTGCAGGTTTGCGTCATATTCTGAGTTACATTATTTTTTAGAACTACAGTAACATCTGATTACTCATCATGGGGACAGGAGAGCTGTCAATCAATAAATTGGAAAAAAAGTAACTTGCGTTACCCCCAACACTGGTAATGACACCCCAAAATCAAAAATAAATTGTTTTTAAATATTACAAGGCAATATTCCCATAATTTTCTAATTTTTAGTGGCATCCAGGCTCCAGTAGCAGTAGTTTCTAGGGATTTGATGAGTTATCTATTTACGGTAAAGCCCAAAACATGAGAGACCTCTAGAGAGGCTTCTGCTGAATCACCGCAGGAACGTTCGGCTCCAGGCTGAAGAAAACATTCGATCAACCGACGCATTATTGGGTTAGCTTGAGACCGTCTTTGGGTGAAAGAGCATGAAATTAGAGAAGCTGTCAGTCTTTGAGCCGTGGCAAGATCACATGAATGTCAATGCACTAAACGGAGAAGATACATTTTAGAGAACATACGGCATAATATTCCACTGTCTGCACGGGTGGTAAATGATGGTTTCTTTATTTCATTCTGTGGGGTTGCAATAAAGACAAGTATACAAATGCAATTTCCACAACTGTTTTGAACAAAGAAGTCCAGTATCTTTATTTGTATGACCATAAATGATGCAACCAAGCATTGATAAATAAACACTGACAAAAACAAGTTGTTGATTACGGTGCGCTGTGACAGAACCAGAAAAAAAGATCATTCCACACATTTTTGTTTTCCTCCAATATAGTCCAACTGATTTTGCTCTTTAATGAAGGTCTTCCAGCTTTGGGGTGAGGAAGGGGACGTGAGCAAAGCAGCGATCTGCCCAACGGTCTCAAGAGTAGCTCGACGTCTTGCTGCCGACGTCATCCTCTTGCATTCCCATACTCTGAAACACAGAACAGACCACCTGCTTATAAAAGCTCGTCCTTTAGAAGCTGTATATATATATATACATATATATGCTGTATATGTAATAGATTGATGATTCATGAGCTTGTTCAGACTAGTACCTTTTGCACAAACTGGGGGTTTACAGTGATCTCTTGATCCATGGACTTCAGTTTTTCATCTACCTCTATACATTTCAGCATCTGCATCAGAGTCAGGACAGATAACAGTGAGGCATCCGTGGATAACACTACAAAACGACTGTCATTAATGCAGTGGTGCATAAACATTATACTGCATTTCAAGTGCACAATCTGAAATATTTTCCATTTCTCAAACTTCTAATACCTGCAGCGTATTATGAGTGTTAAATTAGATTTTGAACACCACAGCTTTAATGATTCATTTAGAATATATATAGAATATAAAATAAATGTTAAGTTGAAATAACATTTCACAACATATGTTTTACTGTATTTGTAATATATTTATATTATTATTTTATTGCTATAAATAAAACAAAAAATAGGAATTAATAGTTATTTTAAATTGGTAATTTTTCACAATATTACTGTATTTATATTATTGTTATATTATAATAAATAAAAAACAATAATTTAACATTTTAATAATCTGACATAATATTACTGTATTTACAATAATATATTTACTTCATTATATTACAATAAAGCAAATAATAGAAAATAAAGTTATTTTAAATTGTAATTATTCACAATATTACTTTTTAACTGTATTTATATTATTTTATTATATTATAATAGGAATTAATAGTTATTTGAAATGGTAATATTTCACAATATTACTGTATTTATATTATTGTTATATTATAATAAATAAAAAAACGATCATTTAAAATTGTAATAATCTGACAATATTACTGTTTTACTGTATTTACAATAATATATTTACTGTATTTGATATATATTCATATTATTTTATTGCTACAACAAATAAAACAAAAAATAGGAATTAATTGTTATTTTAAATTGGTAATTTTTCACAATATTACTCTATGTATATTGTTATATTATAATAAATAAAAAACAATCATTTAAAATTAATAATCACACAATATTACTGTATTTACAATAATATATTTACTTCATTATATTACAATAAAGCAAATAATAGAAAATAAAGTTTTTAAATTGTAATTATTCACAATATTACTTTTTAACTGTATTTATATTATTTTATTATATTATAATAGGAATTAATAGTTGTTAAATTGTAATTTTTCACAATATTACTGTATTTATATTATTGTTATATTATAATAAATAAAAAACGATCATTTAAAATAGTAATAATCTGACAATATTACTGTTTTACTGTATTTACAATCATATATTTACTGTATTTGATATATATTCATATTATTATTTTATTGCTATAACAAATAAAACAAAAAATAGGAATTAATAGTTATTTTAAATAGTCATTTTTCACAATATCACTATATTTATATTATTGTTATATTATAATAAATAAAAAAACGATCATTTAAAATTGTAATAATCTGACACAATATTACTGTTTTACTGTATTTACAATAATATATTTACTTCATATTACAATAAAACAAATAATAGAAAATAAAGTTATTTTAAATTGTAATTATTCACAATATTACTTTTTTTACTGTATTTATACTATTATTTTATTATATTATAATAACAACATTTTATTATCTTTGTGTTTATGAACTTTTTATGATCTTCTGACTATTATTTGTTGAACATTATATAATATATTGAGTTTTCTATGTATGTTATTAATGTTTCTCTCAAATGTCCTTGAAATATTAATTATTAAGAAGATAAAAAATAATGGGGCTGTAAATATGTCATGCATGTTGCTCTCTGGTGTTTAACTCGAGGCTTCATGGTCTCGTTCTCTTGTACTCTAGCACTGAATGAAGAAAAGCACTGTTTTATCATTACAAACCTCTTGGTCGATTTTGTGGAGCATCGCAGGGTTGTTGTATTTCTCAGGGTTGTCATGGAAACAGACCATGCCATCTTTCTGGTTAATACTTGCATAAATCTCTCCATCCTCGATCTGAGAGAGGAAAGATTTGAGCACCAACAAACCTCAAATGTTGAATAAATGTGTGACCCTGGAGCACAAAACCAGTCATAAGGGTCAATTTTCCGAAATTGAGATTAATACATCATCTGAAAGCTGAATAAATAAGCTTTCCATTGATGTATGGTTTGTTAGGACAATATTTGGCTGAGATACAACTATTTGAAAATCTGGAATCTGAGGGTGCAAAAAAATCTAAATATTGAGAAAATCATCTTTAAAGTTGTTCAAATTAAGTTCTTAGCAATGCATATTACTAATCAAAAACTAAGTTTTGATATATTTACAGTAGGAAATTTACAAAATATCTTCATGGAACATGATCTTTACTTAATATCCTAATGATTTTTGGCATACAAGAAAAATGGATAATTTTGACCCATACAATGTATTTTTGGCTATTGCTACAAATATACCCCAGCGACTTAAGACTGCTTTTGTGCTCCAGAGTCACATATGAAACGTCCAGTGATTGCGATGTAAAACACATCTATATGTCATGATGAGGCTGAGTTCATACCATATGTAGGACGTATTTCTCAGCTTCTTGAGGGCCGGAGAGCTGAACTCGACACGCCATGTCTTGTAAGGATAATGTCAAGAACGTCTGTCAATCACAAGAACAGAGATTACCGTTTCTGTTTAGTCGAACTGAGATTAACCAAAAAAATAATAAA